AAAATATTTTATTTTTAATTTATGGACTAAAACAAACATTTCTATAACATAGTATAATAAAAAGACAATTGCACATGAAACTGCAAATCTGTTATGTACAACTTACTATTTCTTTTAAATAAATAATAGTTATCATGTAAATTTCTCTTTTTTTCTTTTTCCTTTTTCTCTGCCACCCTCCCCCTTGCCAAGATGGCTATAGAGCTGCCAAAGTGATTTTCCTAAAGCCTAGGTTTCTCTGTCTCTCTCTCCTCTCTCTGTCTCTCTCTTTCTCTCCTTCCCCTCTTTCTTTCCCTCTTTCCCCCTTTCTATCTGCCTGTCTCTCTGTCTCTCCCTCTCTCCCTCTCCTTACTCCCCTCTCCTTGCCCCCAGTAAGCTCCACTGATTCTCTATTACCTCCATGATCAAAAAGAAGTCATTTGGTATTTAAATTTATTCACAAATATAGCCCCTTTTTACACACTTTACTCCTCTCCGTGTACTCCACAGTTCAGTTTTAATATGCTTGCTGTTCTTTTCACAACATTCTTATTTCCCATCTCCCTGCCTTTGCACTGGCTACTTCCCATGCCTGAAATGCTATTCCCTCTTCATCTTCACCTCTTAGCTTCCCTGGCTTCCTTCAAGAGTCAGCTCAAATGCTATCTTTTCTAGGAGGCCTTTGCTGATCTCCCAGCTGCTAGTGGCTTTCCCTCTAGGATTACCTTCCATCAAATCTATGTTTATTGTTTGCATGTTTCTCTCTTATTTGAATTTGAGCTCCTTGAGGTAGGGATCGGTTTTTCCCCCTTCTTTGTATCCCCAGTGCTTACTTAGCACAATTCCTGGAAAAGAGTAAGTGCTAAATCTATACCTTTTTGACTGACTGATCCTATATTGATACTAGTCTTTCCCAATTTGAGGAAAACCTGCTCTCTGTACCTTGGTATGTCTATTTTTCACTGACAGATGTCTTCTTCTGATACTTCATCATGGCATGAAGGTGACTATGGGCATTTGTTTTTTTTTAGGTGCTTGAATAGGAGTTTAATTTCTGTATTTTTTTTGTTTTTGTTCAGTCATTTCAGTCATGCCTGTCTCTTTTTTGGGGGGGGGAGGGGGCGAGGCAGTTGGGGTTAAGTGACTTGCCCAGAGTCACACAGCTAGTAAGTGTTATGTATCTGAGGTAGGATTTGAACTCAGGTCCTCCTGACTCCAGGGCCAGTGCTCTATCCATTGTGCCACCTAGCTGCCCTGACTATTGGCATTTCTAAGGCTATTCCAGTAGAGGCACAAGCTCTGGCAGTGTAAAACACTCCAAAACCTTGTGATGGACTCTGTCACCCTAGGCCAAGCCTAGCTACAAATGAAAAGATTCATCACTAGAATGCTATTTTTTTTTTCACCCACAGGTACTCTTAAAGACCATCTACCAAACTGTTGAAAAGGTGTAGTCTGTTTTGGTGCAAGAATGTCCACTGAGGCAAAACCTTACTGCTTGAAGTAAGACAGAGCAACCTAGCCATTTAGACAGATCCTATTGTTTAGGATCAATTTAGAACAAATATTCATTGCTCTCAGGAAGCTCACAGTCTAATGGTAGAGATAACATGAAAACAACTATTTACAAACAAGCTATATATAGAATAAATTGGGGGTAATCTTAGAAGGGAGGCACTAAGATTAATTAGGACTTGAAAAAACTTCAGTAATAATTCTAATAACTAACATCTATTAAGTGGATTAAAGTTTTCAAGGCCCTTTACATATGTTGAAATGAAACATCTCATTTTAATCTTCATAAAAACTTGGTGAAGTAGACATTATTATTATCTCCATTTTACAAATGGGGAAGCTGGAGCATACAGAGGTTAAGTGACTTTCCCAGGGCCACACAGCTACTAAGTGCCAGAGGTGGGACTCAACCTCAAGAATTCTTGACCCCAAGTTGAGTTCTCGATCCACTTGGCCACGTAGCCACTTTATAAGTTGCTTTGGCTTGCCAAAATGTTCCAGAACTTGCTTTCCACTAACATGGACCAAAAGAACCTGAGATCATTTCCTTTTTACCCTTCCTAAGAGTTCTCTACAAACTACTTTTTGGGGTGGAATATGGTGTGATTAGCATTTCAGCTGAATATTCTGGTTTAATTGGTCCCATAATGTATATATGTTATCTGTATTTTAAAATATGCCATATACACAGTCTATTAAATAACTTTGCTAAAGTCATCTTCTGATGCCTCATTATGGTGTTGAAATGATCTCAGGTTCAGATCTGTATACCTATCAGTATAATTGACCATGTCAATGACAAAATCAACAGAAATCATATGATTATCTCAACAGGTGCAGAAAAAGCTTTTTGATAAAATGCAACACCCATTCTTCTTAAAACAGCAACAACAATAGCAACAACAACACTAGAGGGCATAGGAATAAATAGAGCTTTCCTCAAAATGCTAAAAAGTGTCTAAAACTGTTAAGCAAACATTATTTGAAATGGGGATAAACTAGAAGCCTTCCCAATAAGATCAGGGGTGAAGCAAGAATGCCCATCATCACCACTACTATTCAATATTGTTCTAGAAATGCTAACATGAACAATAAGAGAAGAAAAAGAAACTGAAGGAATTCATATAGGCAATGAGGAAACAAAACTATCACTCTTTGCAGGTGATACAGTGATATACTTAGAGAATCCTAGAGAATCAACTAAAAAACTACTTGAAATAATTAACAGCTTTAGCAAAGTCACTGGATATAAAATAAATCCACATAAATCATCAGCATTTCTATATATTACCAACAAAGTCCAGCAGCAAGAGACAGAGAAATTCCATTTAAAATAACTGCAGACAATACAAAATATTTGGGAGTCTACCAGCCAAGACAAATTCCGGAACCATATGAACCCAGTTACAAAACACTTTTCACATGAAGTCAGATCTGAACAATGGGAAAATATCGATTACTCATCGGTAGGCCAAGTTAATATACTAAAAAATGACAATCTGACTTACATTAGTTTACTTATTCAGTGTCATACCAATCAAACTATCAAAATTATTTTAAAGAGCTAGAAAAAATAATAACAAAATTCATCTGGAAGAACAAAAGGTCAAGAATATCAAGGGAATTAATAAAACATATACATATATACACACATACACATACACACACACACGGGAAAGTCACCAAGCCTTACCAGATCTAAAACTATATAAAGTGACAATCATCAAAACTATTTGGTATTGGCTAAGAAATAGAGTGCTAGGTAAATGGAATAGATTAGGTCTACAACACACAGTAATAAGTGACTTTAGTAATCTACTGTTTGATAAATCCAAAGATTCTAACTTCTGGGATAAGAACTCACTATTTGACAAAAACTACTGGGAAAACTGGAAAAGAATATGGCAGAAAATAGGTATAGACCAACATCTCAAGCCATATACTAAGATAAGGTCAAAATGGATACATGATTTAGACATAAAGGATGATACCATAAGCAAATTAGGAGAGCAAGAAATAGCTTGCTTGTCAGATCTATAGAGAAGGGAAGAATTTATGACCAAACGAGGTAGGGAGCATTATGATATGCAAAATGGATAATTTTGATTACATTAAATTAAAAAGGTTTTGCATAAACAAAAGCAGTTTAATCAAGATTAGAAAGAAAACAAAAGCTGAGAAACAAGTTTTATAGCAAGTGTTTCTGGTAAAGGCCTTATTTCTTAAATATTTAGAGAACTAAGTCAAATTTATAAGACCTCAAGTCATTCCTCAGTTGATAAATGATCAAAAGATATGAACAGGAAGTTTTCAGATGAAATGAAAGCTATCTGTAGTCATAAAAAATTCTCTAAATCACTATTGATTAGAGAAATGCAAATTAAAACAACTCTGAGGTACCACCTCATACCTATCAGATTGGTTAATATGACAGAAAAGGAAAATGATAAATATTGGAGATGTGGGAAAAATTGGGACACTGATACATTGTTGGTGAATTTGATTTGGAACTATGACCAAAGGGCAATCAAATTCTGCATACCCTTTGAATCCAGCAATGGACTGTATCCCAAAGAGATCATTAAGAAGGCAAAAGGACCTACATGTATACTAATATTTAAAGCAGCTCTTTTTGCAGTGGCAAAGACTTGGAAATTGAGGGGATGCCCGTCAATTGGGGGATGGCTTATCAAATTGTGGTATATAAATGTAATGGAATACTATTGTGCTTTAAGAAATCATGAGCAGGCGATTCTCAGAAAAACCTGGAAAGACTTATATGAACTGATGCTGAGTGAAGTGAGCAGATCCAGGAGAATATTGTACACGGTAGCAGCAGCATTGTATGATGATCAGTTAGGATTGACTTAGCTCTTCTCAGCAATACAATGACCCAAGACAGTTCCAAAAGTCTCCTGATGGAAAATGCTATCCACATCCAGAGAAAGAACTGATGGAGGATGAATGCAGATCAAAGCATACCATTTTACTTTGTTTTTTTTCCTTTTGTTCTTTTTCTCCTTTCATAGCTTGAGTAATATGGAAATATGTTTAACATGACTGCACATGTATCCCTATACAGATTACTTGCTGTCTTCAGGAGGGGTGAGAGAAGGGCGGGAGAAAAATTTGGACCTCAAAAATATTATTAAAAAATGAAAGTTGAGAACTCTCTTTACCTATAGTTGGAAAAAAAATAAAATGCTATTTACATAAAAAAGGGAAATTGTTTACTACAGGGAAAAAAAAGAGACTTTAGAACACAGAATGTTACTGCTAGAAGGGACCTTAGAGACAGGCTAGTCTATCACCTTTATTTTATAGAGGAGAAAATTGAGGCCCAGAGGGATTGTTGGTCACACAGTAAATTCTTAATAAATGCATTTTCCTTCATTAATTTATTCGTTCATTCACCAAAGGTCACCCAGTCAGTCAGAGGAAGAGCTGGGACTAGAACCCTGGAATCTGAGTTTGCAGTTGTAGAAAATGCCTCTTTCTATTTGCAGCGTTTCAAACTTTCCTTGGGAAAATGGATGTCTCTCAAGAAATTAAAGAGGCCCTTGCTGTCAGTCGGGTTCAGAGAAACATTCGCGTTGTCTCAGTCTCGGAACTTCTGACGAGGCGTTCTGCTCGCTGGCAGATAATTACAGTGATTATCACCATGGCCTGCTACCAGCTCTGCGGGCTTAATGCGGTAAGTACTGACTTCCTGTCTGCCCATGGCCACCATTTCTTGATAATAGGTGTTTCAGAGGGGGAAGGATTATAGCTTTATCCTGGAAAGTATTTAAATGTCATGTTACTCAGCACAGGAGTTATGCAGGGGGACATCAGAGAGAAATTCACTCCAGTGAGCTAAATGGACTGTGGCAGAGCTATATGCCCTCTGTGCCCTCCCAACATTTGACCTCCAAAAGCCTGTGTAGGAAGGAGCAAAGGAGGTGATTCACTGGTTATTATCTATCATCCTGTGGCATCGGCCAAAGGAGGAAGGGAAGCTAGAACTTGTTTGAAGGTTGCTGATGGGAGCAGTTGGATCTTCTGGGGTGGAAGGTGAGCTAGCTAAGCAGGTGTATCTGGAACAGCACACATGACATTTTAGGAGTTAGAATCTTCTGTTGGTCACTGCTGTTTGTTTACATCTGACAAAAGAGTTTTATGTTAGGCAATGTTGTATAAGGGAAAGAACACAGATTCTGGATATCAGTATTGTAATTCTAGCTCTGGCACCATGTAACCCTGGGCAGCTCACCCTACCTCTTTGATGCTCTATTTTCTTATCTATAAAATGGGTTTAATATTATTTGGGCCCAAAATTCCAAAGTGCTGTAAGGAAAGTGCCTTGTTAAGCCTTCAAGAACTATTGAAATATGAGCTAATGTTGTGGTGATGATAATGAAAAAAATAATAGCTAGTATTTATATAGCATATTAAGGTTTGCAAAGCACTTTCCATGCATTAATCTCATTTGACCCTTAAAACAACACTGTGAGGTAAGTGCTAGTATTATCCTCATTTTACAGATTAGGAAGCTGAGGCTGAAAGACATTAAATAACTTTCCCATAGTCAGAGGAAAAGGGTTTCAATACTACTCTTTTCTGTAAAGTTTATTGCCTATGTGGTCTTGAGCAAGCCACTTAACTACTTAGGGCCTCAGTGATTTTGTAAAATGAGGGGGTTTGACAAGATGTCTTCTGTGTCCCTTCAAAGTCTACACCAGGGATACTTAACCTTGAGTCCATCAACTTGTTTAAGTATTTTGACAATTGTATCTCAATGGTTGACTTTGCAATCCTCTGCATGTTATTTTATATGTTTAAGAACATTGTTGTAAGACAGGATCTTTTGACTTCACCCAACTTCCAAAGGGGTGCAGGGCATAAAAAAGTCAAAAAGTCTTTCCTCAGAACTATGATCTTATTCTTTCCATTCTTCAAGATCTCTCAATCATGGTACATCTTACAAATCTCCCACTCTCTTGGGCTTAGTCCCAGCTGAGATCTCAGTCTTTCTCTCTTGATGCTGCTCTGTTTTTCTATCCCTGTATTTATTAAGTGCTTACTGTGTGCCCCACACTGTAAAACGCTGGGAAAGCAAATACAAGCAGCAAGAAAGACAGCCTCTGCCCTCAAAGAGTTTATATTCCAACTGGGAGCCAAGAGGACAGATAAAAGGATGTTGAAAAGGAGAGGGAGGGGAGAAGACCAGAGGGGCAGAGATAGTCCAGTGCAAGGAGAGGAGTGAAAACATGACTGCCTCGTTAAATGGAGGTTCTGAGAGGAGCCATCCAGGATGATCAGTATGTGTTCAGAACAGCATGCCAAGCTCTGGAGGAGAAAGTTCAGAGTTTCATGTCACTGGGGATTGTGTAGTCTGTCTAATAGTGTGATAAGACACATGCAGAGCTAGAATTCTCATTATTTCGTGATTGGTGCATCCTTGAAATACCCAGTCAAGTGGATGTGAAAGTGGGAGGGTAAAGTTGTGCCTGCCTCAGATAATCAGGGAAGACTTCATAAGGAAGGGGGCATTTGAGTTGGGCTTTTTATAAGAATGAAAGAGGTTAAGAAAGAGAGGGATGCTACTCAAGGCAGAGGCAACAGCCTGAGAAAAGTACAAAAATGTGTTAATGAGAGCATATAACCTTGGGCAAGTCCCTAAACCTCTCAGAACCTCAATCTCCTTGTCTGGAAAATGGAAATGATAACACTTGCCCTCCATCATCACAGGGCTCTAACAAGCATCTAATGTTGTTTAGTTATTTCTAGATAGTGTCAGATTCTTCACGACCCCTTTTTGGGGTTTTCTTGGCAAAGATACTAGAGTCGTTCACCATTTTCTCCTCCAGTTCATTTTATAGATGAGGAAACGGAGGCAAACACGGTTAAGTGACTTGCTCAGATAACACAGCTAGCAAGTGTCTGAGGTCAGATTTGAACTCAGGTCTTCCTAACTCCAGGGCCAGTGCTCTATCCACTGTGCCACCTAGCTGCCCCTATAAGCATATAATTAAATAATGCAAATGAAAGCTCTTTCTTACTATAATGTGCAACTAAATGAGGGTAACCATGAAATGCACTTAAGCGGGAACTGGGTTTTTCTGATGATACAATGCATTTATTTACTTGTTGAATCAGCTTTTTCAAAGTAGTTTTATACCTATTATCTGACTTTAACCTTAGAACATGCCTGTACAACCTTCAGGCCGTGGGTAAGTGTCATGCCAAAGGGTTTCATGGGTGGGGCCCGAGAAAAATGTAGAGGAAAACAGCCTTTGTATGTAGAGGAAATACTTTGGTGTACTACAAGTGGCCAGTGCACTTGAAAGAATATTCCTATGTTGACATTTGGGAAGGTGTCATTAGAGAATGAAGGGAAAAAAAATCACTAAGTGCCTACTATGTGCTAGGCATTGCACTATGCACATTATAAATATTATTTAATTTAATCCTCACAACAACCCTAGAAGGTAGGTAGGTAGGTACTATTATTATCCTCATTTTATAGCTGAAGAAACTGAGAAAGACAGAAGTAAAGTGACTTGCCCAGGGTAACAAGCCTGGGTTTTAATTCAGGTCTTTCTGGGCCCAGAACTCTATCAATTGCACCACAAGTTGCCTCCAAGGCCTAGATGGGTTATGTTATATGTCACTTGAGGAAATACCCACATTGTAGAAATGGCAGATCCATTGAAGTCAATTAACTTCATTTTCTAGACCAAGGGATTAAAGCCCAGGAAGGGTAAGCTTCATGATTGCAAATCCAGTTAGTTCTAGACCCAGAATTAGAATCCAGATAACCTGAGGTCCAGTGCTCTTTTTACTATACCATGTTGTCTTTAAGTCCTTTTGATTTTAAATTTATTTAAGATGGACAACCATCCTACACAAGGAAGAAACTTGAGTTAAAACTATCTTCCTATGAGAGAAAAATCAGATTTACATGGCATGATGGATAGAGAGCTTGCCTTGGAGCTAGGAAGTCCTGAAGTTGAAGTCTCACCTCTGACATGTCAATTGACCGTGTGACTCTGGGTAAGTCACTTAATCTCTCACTGCTCTGTATAATTTTCTAGGTTGCAGAGAAAGTGCCAACCTATATTGGTGGAGAGTTTCCTTACTGGGAATTTCCTATACCAATGAAATCATGGGTCCAATCCCTCCCTGCTTGTTCCCAGAGAAAAATTGTAGGAACAATAAGTGGAATTATGGATGGAATGAAGTATTCCTTATCCCTGGGGGAATCTTCAAGCACAGGCTGGACGTTATAGAGGGGGCAGTGTTGAATTTTCTGGTTTCTTATGATTTTAAAGCCCTTTGATCAGAAGCCCTGAGTTCCCTTCAGACGATGGATTCTACGTCAATCAACAAGCATTTAAGTGTTTTCCTAAGTGCCAGTTACAATACTAAGCATTGGGAACACAAGAAAGGCAAAAACAGTCCTTGCCCTCAGGGAGCTCCCATTCTAATGGAGGAGACAATGTATGTATACCTTGTATATATGTATACCTTGTATATACTTAGTTTTATATATATACATATATATAATAATCTACTACGTATATAATCTAGATGATAGGTTAGAGATATATATGATATAATATGTAATAGATTATAATATATAACATAATTATAATCAATTATACATACAAATATATAAAACCAAAGGGACAATACATAACTAAATACATATAAGATATCTATATCTTGTGTGTACTTAGTTTTATAGATATATAATCATATATATCATATGTTACATATGATATAATGTATATGATAATATATGATAATTATAATATATATAAAAGTAAGGAGATAACATGTATGTACCTAATATATACAAGATATATATGTATATATGTCTTCTATGTGCTTATATATATGCATATGTAGATCTATATACTTATATATACATGTTCATAACTAAGTACAAACAAGATGTATCTATATCTTTCTCTCTATATATCTTGTATGTATTGTTACTTAGATGTTTTCTATCTCTATACATGTATAGTGAGGGACCCACTAATGAGGGCCTCGTCTTGAAATCATATGTGAGCCTGAGAGCTCCTGATGAGGCTGCCTCTAGGATTGGGTCCTCACTGGACAGTCCCCTCATTATACAGAGTAGGTGAAGGGGGGGAAACCTGAGAGGGGGAAACCACTAGAAGTTGAGTGGACCAGGAAAGCCATCCTGCTGAAGGTGAGACTTGAGTTGAGGCTAGAAGAAAGCCTGAGAAACCAAGAGACATAGTTGAAGGGGCCAAGCATGAGGACTGCCATGGCAAAGGCACAGAAGTTAGATTGTGCTCCTTGGAGAGGAGGGAAAGTCTTTTGCCTCTTTCTTACCCCCAGCCTTTAGCACAGTACCTGGCACATAGTATGCACTTAATAAATGTTTGTTGACTTACTGATTGAGAAATGGAAGATGGAGTTCTATGTGTCAGAAACATTAGGTGGGTCAGTGTATCTAGATTGTAGAGTGTTTTAAGGGGAGTAAAGCCTAAGGAGAGTGGGAAAGTAGGAAGGGGCAGATTGTAAAGAACTTTAAATGTCAAACAGAGGCATTTATATTTGATCACAGAACCAAAAGGCAACCACTGGAGTTGATGGGGCTGGTAGGATTGGGGGGGAGGAAAGATATAATCAGGCCTATATTTTAGAGAAATCACCTTGACCACTGAATAGAGGATG